TTTTTTTTTTTTTCTTCTGTCTCCCTTCCTTCCTTGCTTGCTTTTTCCTTCCTTCCTTTTTCCCTCCCTCCCTCCCTTCCTCTTTGCTAGTCATGTTTGGTTCTATCCTAGGTCTTTGGGCTATCCAGGCAGTATCAGGCATGGCCTCTGTCTCATGGCATGGGGCTCAAGTTGGACCAGTCATTGGTTGGCATTCCCACAAGTCCTGTGCCACCATTATCCCAGCACATCTTGCAAGCAGCACAGTTGTAGGTCAAATGTTTTACGGCTGGTTGATGCCCCTGGCCCACCACTGGAAGCCTTGCTGGTTTACAGAAGATGGCTGGTTCAGGCTCTGTATCTCCATTACTAGGAGTCTTTGCTAGGCTCTCCCTTGAGATTCAGAGAATTTCTACTGCACTAGATTTCCACATTCCCTCTCAGTTTGTCATCTCTCCCAGTATTCTCCCTCTATCCCTCCCACCCACTGACTGATTTATCCAGTTCCCCATCTGCCCCCCTAAATTGATTCTATTTCTCCATGCCAAGGAGATCCATACATCTCTCAACTTTGTTACTTAGCCTCTCTGAGTCTGTGAACTTTAGCATGATAATCCTTTACCTAACAGCTAATACTCACTTATGAGTACATATCATGTTTGTCTTTCTGGATATGGGTTACCTCACTTTCTAGTGAGGGCTATTTATTTATTTATTTTAGTTCTATCTGTTTGCCTGCAAATTTCATGATGCTTTTTTAACAGCTGAGTAGTACTTCATTGTGCAAATGTACCACAGTTTCTTTATCCATTCCTTCACTGAGGGACACCTAGTCTGGTTACTATGCATAAAACTGCTATAAACATAGTAGAGCAAGTGTCCTTGTGAAGCATCCTTTGGGTATATGCCTAAGAGTAGAAGACCTTAAAAATTTTAAGCTTTGGTTTTTCTAAGATTTTTATTCGGAGTTAGGTATAAGTCATGATACTTAATGCATTACTTCATAGATATATTTTATTGAAAACAAGACAAAAAATAAATCCCTCGGTATCTCTTGTGCCTTTTTTCTTTCTTTTCTTCTTCTTCTTCTTCTTCTTCTTCTTCTTCTTCTTCTTCTTCTTCTTCTTCTTTTTTTTTGGTTTTTCGAGACAGGGTTTCTTTGTAGCTTTGGAACCTGTCTGGAGCTCGCTTTATAAACCAGACTGGCCTCAAACTCACAGATCTGACTGCCTCTGCCTCCCAAGTGCTGGGTTCCTGTGCAATCTTACCAGGGCACAGAAAAAAACAACAAAGAAAATACAGTGATACAGGAAGTACACGAAGGGACTGTTGAAGAACTTCAGTAGAACCAGCTCGCCCAGTGTCAGAACTCAGGAGGTTGTATAACACATCGAGCTTTGTACCACACAAGCTCAATCTCAGGTGCAGCTTGTCTGAGATCAGCTCATGTAATCTCCAGTCTGTACGTACAATCTGCAACTGTGAAGGAGGCCTGCTGTAGAACAGGATATACCTCCCACACAGCTGAAGAGATGACATAAGATAAGCATCTGCCACACAAATGAGCCTTTCTGCCCTCTATAGATAATAGTTATTAGGGCACAGAATAAGCTTACTGCCAAAAGTCTAGTAATTTTAAGCCAGGCTGAAGCTAGGCTTAAAATACTCCTGATGCAAGCAAGCAAACTTCAATGATCACTTAGAAAAGGATGGTCCCACGGAGCTGAAGCTACAGCATTGGGAAGGGTGACTATCGAGCTTCATCCTATAGCTTCCTGGCATATAGCATTCTCTGCCAAGTAGACTGATGAGCCACGGAGAGAAAGTTAAGTGTGGGCCAGATGTTTGTAGTACATGCCTTTAATCCCAGCAGAGGCAGGTGTATCTCTGTGAGTTCCAAGGCCAGCCTGGTCTGCAAAGCAAGTTCCAGGACAGCCAAGGCTATAGAATGAGAGTCTATAAAAAGTTTAAGTATAACATGCAAATAATAATTTAATACCTTATGTTCATACAGCTTATGGCTTATAAAGGCTATGACTAACATTGTTTGGCCACAACAGCCAAGACCTACTTGTCTGTGATAGGAACAAAGGAGGATATCATAAAGAAAAATTTAAAATATATTTAGATGTGAAAATCTTGACTGATAGTGCTAATATTTTCTCTTAACAGAAGTCTACATTTCCCTTAAATTTATGTCCCCTTTGGTGTAGTTTAAAGCTTTGGCAACATTCACTTTCTCAGGAAGAAAAACATGGCTTGGACTCCTTTGAAACCAGAGAAATGACTTTAAAAATGTGAAAATAAACTAATGATCAAAGAAACAAATACAAGAAGCTAGTAACCTTCCAAAGCTCATTGCACATGACCTTTGTACATTTCAGTTAAGGGTGCTTAAGAAATGGATCAATGATTTGGAGTACTGGCTGCTTTTGCAGAGGACCCAGATCAGCTCCCAGCACTGACATGGCAACTCACAATTGCCTGAAACTCCAGTTTCAGGTGATCTCATAGCCTTTTCTGGACTCTGTGGGCACCAGACATGCAAGTGGTGCATTTAGATGCCCGAAGGCAAGTGGATTCATTGTTCTATAACTAACGAGATAAATCACTCTGTTCCCATTGCCAATTCCAAAACCAACGCAGATACCAGAATAAGTAACACGGCATAACTATTCAAAAATAACCATTAGACTATTCTCTTCATTTACAAGCTTAAATGCATTCTGAAACATACTACTTGCTGTATTGCTTAGCACCTCTCTCCTTTTCATATGGCAATGGTGAACCATCAGGAAGTGTCTCGGAAGGGGAATTCCACTCTGCTGGTGGCACACTGTCTTGGAAAGTGTACACCTATCTTGTGCTCATAAAACACAGAGGCCTGACATGGTGCATACACCTCCTCTTCCCTCTCCTTAAAAAAAAACCCCGAGGTAAAGCTGATCCAGATTCAGCCATGCTTCAGTTAGTACAAACCTTGCAGCTGTTTCCTGCTACCTAGCATCCTCTGTTGTAAACTACTTGGCATCATGGCCAGACTATCTTAAAGTCATTCTGTATCATTCTTCAGAAATCTAGTGTTTCCCATTCACAGCACTGGTTAAAGTGGTATTTTTATCTGAATTAAACAGTTCATTCATTTCTTCACTATGCAAAGGGAACCCAAGCCCATCATGATGCCACCTGGCATGAGAACAGAATTTGAAAACTAAGATCGTAAGCCAGATGATTTCTCCCCTGCTCGAACGGCAATATATTAACACACAGCACCACCTACCTTTCAGAGAAAGGGGAGAAAACAGGCTTATTTTCCAGATAAGCCCATATGGTTTACTTCTGGGCTTTACCCATATACTTCACCTAATGGCAAAGTTAGGTTCAAACAAAGTAAAAAAAAAAAAAAAGTTAAAAACAAAACTAAGAGGAAAAATTGAAGTCCCACTTGTTATTATATAACACTGTAACAGTGTTCATAAATTACCTGGAAATGCTTCATTCAAGTCTGGCCAGCAGCAGCCAGATGATTTTAATGCAATACAAAATAATGGACACATAGTTTAGACCATGTACAACATTCCTTCAAACTGAGGTCATTCTTTGATCTCATGAATAGGATTCTTTCCATAAATGACAATTTTCTTACATGAGCTTAATTGTCTCAGAGATACTAGGGAAATTATTTTTGATCAAAAGGGGCAAGCATCTGCACCAATTGTTACTTAATTATTAAAGTAGTCAAACCATGAGAGGCAAATAGGTTTGTGTTGTTGCCCATTCACTGACATGGCTTTAGTTGTACAGCCCCTCTATGCATGGTAGGTGGGGATCAATGTCCTTGGCATCTACAGGAAATGAAGGCACTATGCTAATGACACCTCCCACAGAAGACAGAGTGCAAGTAAAGGGTTATTTATGGCTGTCTTCTGCTTTAGTCCTCAGGTGTAAAAATTAGAGAAGGGGGCCAAGGAGAAGGCTCAGAGGGTAAAGTATTTGACATGCACGCCTAACAACCTGGGTTTGGATCCTCAAAACCCATGTGAAAGCCAGACACAATAACCCTACCTGTTTTCACACAGGGATGGGAGACAGACAAGAAAATTGCCAGGAGATAGCATGTCAGCTAGCCTGGTGTACACAGCAGCGAACAAAAGATCATGTATCAAACAAGGTAGAAAGCAAGAATCCACACCCAAGGTTGTTCTCTGTCTTCTACACATGCACCAGGGAACACATGTCCACACCCACACAACCAAGCACACACATACACCCACACAATATTTAAAGAATTTCAGCCAAACTGACCTTGAAAGTAATGCAACTTATAAAAGTTATTTTGAAAATGGTATTTGGTAATAATTTTAAGTTAATTTGAGGAAAGTTTCAAAGAGTACATTTTAAAATGGCTTGTTAAAACTGAATAGCTGAATTAAGTATTTGCTTAGCAAGTGATCTACTGGGGCACTAATTATTTTTGAAGGTTCTTTTGTTAGGGCTACAGTTCATCATGTCATACTTAATACAACTTGTACTGTATAGTCTTTCTTCTGGAGGATTTATGTCAACTGACACTAAGGAGAGCCTTTCTGTGACTGGTGAATTAAATTACCATTCATTACCATCCAATTTAAATATTGTTATCTTGCCAGAGTTGCCAACAGAGAGGAGCTGTTCTAACATTAATGATAATAAGGGACAATTTGGTTCAACAGATGGAGTAAAAGAAGGCTATTTCTCCTCTGTTCTGCTTCCTAGGTCTTCTAATCTCTTTTGAAACAGGGTCTCACTTTGTAGCTCAGGATAGCCTTGAACTCATGAGAATCTTCCTGCCTTGGTCTCCCAAGATTATAGGTGTGAACCACTATGCTGAGTTTATCAGCCACTTTTCTATTTTGCATGTCATATTAAAGTAAACTAGAATTTTTTATTTCCTCACATTTGATTATACAATACAAAGTTGATTACAATGCTTTAACAAACAACACTTTGCATTTAAAACAACACAAACTTACAACATGCAGTAAGAGAGAACATAATTCATTTCCATTTATTCCAATTCAGCAGGAAGAGTTCACTCTAAAAGTTTAGATCAACTGCAGGTTTTCACAGAAAAAAATTCTTCCAGTCCCCTCTGTGAGATGAGTCTCATGGTGTGGCCAAACTAGCTCGGAATTCAGAGTTATCCTCCTTTCTCAGTCTTTCAAATGCTTGAGGTGACTGCTGCAAACCCAGTCACTCCCCCAACTTTTATGAGGTAGGGTCTCTGAAAAAACAACTCTTGTTCTTCCTCTTTCTTCATTTTTATTTTATTCTTTAGAAGTTCACAGTGTCATAGACATAAAAAATAAGATTGGAAATATATATAGCTGAGACACCTAACTTTATATACACAAAAGTTTAATAATGTTGTCACAACCCCTAGTAAAATGTAATCCTTATTTACTAATCTACAATAAACTAACTGTACATATTAAATTGTTCAAGTATATCAAGAGCACTGCTTATTAAAAAAAAGAGAGGTCCCAATATGGACAGACATCTCTTTGAAGCCCAATCATAACTTCAACACGATTAAGGTAGAGTTCTATATATTTTGTTTTAATTTTACAATATTATACATTCACTACTATTCCAAAATTTCAAATGAACCAAACATGGGACGTGATTTACATCAGTTTAATACCCTTCTATACAGCACCAGAGTTAAAAATGGATTTGACTAACCAAATGTTCTTTATTAGTCACAGTTTATCATCACACATTTCTGCAATAAACATACAGGGAAAATGAAGACAGCTTGGGCGAAAAGCTTTCGCCTTATATAAATAAGCATTTCACCTACTTCATACTCATACCCAATAGCATATCTGGCTAACAACTACTCAGTAAACGTCTGGCCTTTGAAGACTATGCAAGTCTCATGGGATTCTCTAGGTTTGCTTTGAAACTTTCAAGAAACCTGGTAGCCAGTTCGTCATCAACCACTCGGCTGTCACTTGACATTGTGACAGTTATAAGCTGGTGCTGCCGCAGCTGGGGGTTTCCCTCTTCATCCTCAGTGAGCTTCAGCACTGGTCGGAATCTCCCAACTGCCAAAATACAGGCCTGAGGAGGGTTGATCACCGCAGCAAACTCATCGATGCCAAACATCCCCAAGTTGGAAATACTAGAGGGGGAAAAAAACTGCTGAAAGTAGCATGGCCCAAAATATACATTTGTACTTTAACAAATGACTGTAGTGTGCTATTGAACCTTATACCATGCTACTTAAAAACAAAGAATATGTTTAGCAGGTTACACATGAATATCACAACTATTTATTATCAAACAGTCAGTACTAACTGGAGGTCCTAATCAGTGACATACTGCAAGGAAAAGAAATGTAAGGTATGACTAGTAACAGAAGGAATTCAGCTGTTAGGATATACAGATGAACTGGTGGTCTACACTGAAGAGCTAAAACTCAACACAGAAACACAATTAGTAAGTGAATTTATGCTGCCAGGCAAAAGGTCAATATCATTATATTATACATAAGTTATTAATATTTAGCTGTGAAATCTGAAAATAGAGAGACATTGGGTAGTAGATGTAATGAAGATCTACGACCTCTATACAGAAAGATAGGAAACAAATGAAAGAAACCAAAGCAGTTAATACTGGCTGGATGGCCATATTTAATGCAGAATCTAATCAAAATCTCAGCTAGGCATATGTTGTGTGTCTGTCTGAAAAGTGACAAAGGGACCCTAAAGTTTTTAGAATATGAGGAACCAGAAAAGATAATCATGAGTGTGAACAAAACTGGGCAGTTTTCTTACCATGGTAGTTATGTTTTAGTGCTAACTGAGCAAGAGCCAGGCAAACAAAGAAAACACAACATGGAAGCTGAATAGGACAGCCAAGTCACCTTCCCAGTGCTACGGGGAGAAAACTTTCAGTATACAATCCTGGGCTGATTTCATGTGTTTACAGGAAAGAAAGATCTTTGACTCCTACTTTAGAGGGCATGGAACTCTAATTCCAGATGGACCGTGATCTAGCATCACGTGAAAAGAGAATGGCAGTGCCTCCCAAAGACAACCCAGAAGACGACCCAGAAGAGCTTCACTGGAAAGACCAGAGTTCCTGCCAGAGGAAAAACACGGGCCAGAGGAAAAATAGAAATTCTTTAAGATGCAGTCTCTGTTCATTAAAACATCACCAGGAGAGCCAGAGGCATGGTAGAGGGATCTGAAGCCACCTGTGCATCTGCACGTGCTAAGTCCTACAGATTGGTTTTAAAAAGCAGAAGCAAGACTTTAACAGTGACTTCATCTGATGAACTACCAGGTAACCAAATAACTGATGAATAAAAAGGTGTCCATCACTATTCATTAGTGTGTTCCTGACCACAAAAAGCACCACTAACCACCCCCCTCGAAAGAAATAGTAAAATTTAAAGCCTAACATTAAAATGTTGTCAAGAACAGAACAGAACACTAGGACTCCATGCAATAACAGAAGTGCAAATCTGTATAATCATTTTGGAGAACGCTTTGGCAGAATCTATCAAAGCTTTTAATCCAGGAATTCTACTTTTAGGACCACACAATAAAAGCATGCACCATAAGACAATGACAACGTTAAGCATGTACACAGTGCCATATTTGTAAGAGCACCAGGCTGGAAGGAAGTTTAATACCTATTGGGGGGGGGGGATATACTAACCAGAGGTTACCATATACTACAGCAGCGAACAAATGACTGCTTCAAACAGCAATCACAGTGAAACTCTCATGAACACGACACCAAAAGGCTAGACAATAGGATTACTGTAATTACAAAGTATTATGTATATATCTTTTAATTATACAATGATTAAGCACCAAAACGAAGCTATGATCACCTTCACAATGACATTACCCTTGAAAGAGGGATGGCAGGTATTATAGCACTTTTAGAATTTGTCTAGCAGGTTTCTGACTTTTGTCACACTCCCCATTACCACCCCCCAAAAGAAAGGGAGATGGCATTTGGAAGGACAAAAAGTTGCATTTGGGATACATTCTGTATCTTTTTTTTTGGGGGGGGGGATCATATTTCTTCACCTTACAAAATACACACGCTATGCTCAGTATATTTTATGTTAGTGACACTTAAAATTAGTGTTGGTGATGAAAACCTATCATAGGTTCATTATTTAGATGATAAAAATAATAAATCACAAGAAAGGAAATGGCTGAGGTTTATAAATCTACCTTGCTTAGAAAGTAACTAAAAAATAAAAATTTAAGAACTGGAGGTCATTTTATGATTGCTAAAAGCTAATAAAAAGAGTGTTTATTTCCCAACCAATAGGTGTCTCTCGCTGTGATAGGAAAGCCGAACTACTTTGAGCAATACTTTCACATGTTCTGCTATTTAGAGTACATGATACTGAGCCTGCATTTTTAAAATGTCTTAAACAAATACACAAAAAATGGTTGACATGGACTGAGTAAGTCTTATTCTATTTGCTTGATGCTACTGATAATTCCAAATTTAAATCTTACCTAAAAGATCCTCCTTGGTACTCCTCAGGTAACAATTTTCCATCTCTTGCTTTTTTTGACAGAACCTGAGAAAAGAACAGAGCACAACAACAAAATCATGTGCTAGTTAACTGTGCCACTGGAAATATTTGTACAGGGTATACTCTTGTAGTTCAGGGCAAGTGTTAAATGTTTAAACACTTGCCTAACGCAATTACAGGAAGCTTGAGAACAGACAATCTGAGAAGTTAAAGCTCAACGAAGTTCCCTGAAAAGCTTTCGAGCTCTCAGATTGCCGTGTACCAATGCTGTGCAATGGTTCCTTGCCTTCCATACACAATACTAACAAGCTGCCTATAAAGTTTGTTTCTTGTACCACAAAAATATTAAAGTAAGCATTCTTGTCAATTCAGTAGGTTTTGGAGAAAATATAGTATTGTTCATGTTTTGTAGATTATAAGGAAAAGACTGCCTCTGTCTTTTGATAAAGAAATAAGCATAGCACAGGACCTAGGGTCTGCTACTTTATATAAATATAACTACACATATAGTAATACTAACTACATATTATATGTAATATTACATATAGTATACATGTAATATAGTAACTCTCTGTAAAATAAATACAAACGATGCAGTGTACTCTGCATATCTGAATTTGTCTGGAACTTGCCTTTAACCCCACACTGACATCTTAGGGATGACTTGGGGTCAAGAAGTGAGTAAGTAGCATAGGTCTACTTAGTCAGAGGTCCACAGATGGGTTTATAGTGACCCACAAGCCCTTGAAAAAATTATCAGCAAGTTTTATTAAAAATACAAATTCATTGAACAACTAGTGCATTCCAAGCACTCTCTTAGAATTGGATCCATGACCATGGACAGGATAGTTAACATCAGGTAGCAGAGAACCTGAAAGGTCAACAAATGAATACTTTACTTTGCAACAGTGAGGCAACAGGGTCATGGAACACAGGATAGGGAAATGTACAAGCCATGGATGCTGCAGAAGGCCTGTGAAGGTAGCATTGGAACTGATACAAACATTAGAAACAGCCAGTCAAGTGAGGGTCCAGGAGAAGCTGTACATTGCCAGCATGGGTCCTGGGCCAACCTGCCCAAGATCCAGGGCCCCAAAGATGGCTCCCGCTTTCCCAGGCAAAGAGTGCCAGTCTCCTCAGAGCCTGCTTACTAGCTGCCTGAAGCCCTGATCTCACATTCCTGAACAGCCTTTACTGTTTATTTGGTGGATGACTGGTACACTCAGGCCTCTCTGTTCTTCACTTTCTGTCTCAGGATTTCAATCCTGAGACTCGAGATTAGTCTAACAGCCAGAACACCGTAGCTGCACAGCTGCATTCCTTTTCTTCAGTCAAGTCGCTGCAGTATGGCATAATGGTTGATTCTTCAGCTATTTCCATCTACTCAATTCTTTAATATGGATATGATTTTGTTCCTTTGTTGTTTTAAAGAAAATGTTACTGATTTAGAGGAACAATGGCATCACCACTACCACCAAACAACTTAGTGGGAAGTGTAAAGCTTAGCTGTTGGTAGCACAGGCTTTACTCTAGAGCCCAGCTGACAGGGTTGAACAAGAGACCCATCACGTAATGGCACAGGTGCTTACACAAATTATTTAAATGTATTCCTTATCAGTTTCTCAATCTCATGAAATTATCATCTTGTCCCTGATAGGATGTCTTTAAAGAAAACTGAAGAGAATTAATATATATATGCCTTACAACAAAAGCTGACACACAGGGCTAGCATGGTGGTACACAACTTTAGTCCCAGCATTTGGTGAGACTGAGGCCAGCCTGGTCTACAAAGCAAGTTCCAAGACAGCCAGGGCTACATAGAGAGATCCTTTCCAAAAAGGGGGAAAAGCTGATACACAGAATGCCAGCTGCTGTTATTATAGTCACTGTTGTCACTGTTAATTATACAAACACCTTTAGAATTCTATAACAAGATTGCAAAGCATTCATTTAAGAGATAGCCATATTAGTTTATATAGTCACAAAATGATTTTACTTCTAGAATTAAAATCATTCTACATGACTTCTTCGGTTCAAGCACAAAAGCATTATACTTCTGAACAAGACACAGTATAATGCTTCACATATAAATGACAACTGTAATTCCAAAACTGGAATTTAGCTTGCTTACCTTTCCTGGAGGGTAAGGAGTCAATTCAACAGGAAAGCACAGGCTAGTGAGTGCATTTATTACCAGAGAGCTGCCGCTGAGTCACCATGGGTGATGAGATAAGGCACAGCACCTAGGTTAGTGCCTGGCTGCCATCAGGTTAAGAACAGCATGCTGACCTGGGCTGAAGCAGCTGTACCTTCAGCCTGCGCTCAGCAAACCTGAGAGGTGCTAGGACTACTTGCTCATCTCTTAAGCTAAGGTTCTTTCAAATCCAAGGACCAGAGAATGCTAGCATAGTTATTTTAATGATGTGGTATTATATAGTAGTAAAAATTGCCAAATTGCTCAGAAACCTATAATAGTTAACATTTAATGCACACCAAGATGGGGAAATCCCAGGTCTACAGATCAGTAACTTCTACTAGCATTTTAAAAATGTTATTTCAACACTTGATCTCATTTCACCTTCACAACACTGAAGTACATGTTTCTCAACAGTGTTGAAAATGCTGGATGAATAAAGTTCATGAACAGTATTTCCCTTACCCTGTAGCTTCACTTTGTGGATGGCACTTCAGTTACCCTGTGGTCAACCTACACGCTGAAAACATTAAATGGAAAATGCTAGATACGTATAGTAACTTTGAAGTTACAAGCTGTTCTGAGGAGCATGATGAACAAATGGAGCCATCCAAAGCATGCAATGCCTCTCTATTCCAGTGTTTCCATGCTGTATATACTGCCCACCCATAAGACACTGAGTAGCTCTCTCCACAAGATCAGTGCTCACCACATGCTCATGTTCACATAATTCATACTGTACTTAAAAATGTTTCCAATGGGCAAGAATAATGATGCTGGCAATTTTATTACATGACACTGTTATAACTGTTCTACTTTGGTGTTATTGTTAACCCCATACTGTGCCCTATTTACAAATTAAGCTTTGCACAGGTCTGTACCCACAAGAAAAAGTTTTATGGCATCTATGAGGAGGCTTTGCAATGCATCCTTTGTGGGCAAGAAGAAACAACTTACACTATATCCAAGAAAACCAGTCTATTAACTTTGACTTTTAAACTAACCTAGCTAGTACAATCTTCAAATTAAGAACAACAATTTTAATCCATATAGATATATGCTGCAACTCTTTTCGAAGAATGAAGAACTAAAAATGTCAGACCCACTAAATTCACCTTTAACTATGTATAATTCTAAAATTCTAAGTAGGATCTTTTTTTATAGCTTTATGCTTAAAAACAGCCAACTTGCAATGTTTACTTTGGGCAAATGGAACTGTGAGCTCCCCAAGGAAGTCTTACTTCTGCCTTTTATCTACTATATAACTTGTTCTACCAATCAGCATAAAATACATCCTTGCTACAGCAAAAATGAGAACAATCAATCAAATGAGTATCAAAGTTTCAATGTGAACACTTCAAGACCTGTGATACTTATGTGAAGAAATGCCCTTGGGAATTATGGTAGCTGTCAAAGTTGACCTGCATGCATCACTACTTTGGAATGTGATATGCTTTAGTGATAAAAATTTCTTCATCTTGGAACTTCAAAAATCGCTTTTCAAGAGATTCAAGAAAGCTAAAGTATCTTTGCCTTGGCTTCAGTGGTCTTAATTTACAACTTTAAAATTTACCTGAAATAACATCGTTGTGCTGGCTAGTCTATGTCAACTTGTCACACAAACTACAGTTATCTGGAAGGAGGGAACCTTAATTGAGAAAATGTCTCCATAAAAACCTTAATTTCTTAATTCGTAATTGATGGGAGAGGGCCCATTGTGGGTGGTGCCACTCCTGGAGTTGTGGTTCCAGGTTCCATGAGAAAGTAGGATGAGGAAGCCAGAGAAGAGCAAGCCAGTAAGCAGCACTCCTTCATGGATTCTACATCAGCTCCTGTTTACAGGATCCTTCCCTGTTTGACTTCCTGTCCGGACTTCCTTCAATGATGATCAGTGCAGTGGAAGTGTAAGCCAAATAAACTCTTTCCTCCCCAACTTGCTTTTTGGTCATGGTGTTTCATCGAAGCAACAGAAACCCTAACTAAGACAATCTTTAATACTAAATTTTGGACTTTGAAAAACTAGGGTTTTGCCCAGAACATGAATGAAGCTGACCTCTAATTTAGCTATACATTATTTTTAGACATTTTGAACACTAAATTTCCTTAAAATAGGCAATGCCTTGATAAAAACTGAAAGCCTAGATACGTAAGAGAAACACCTGAGATCACTACTAATCCCCACTACAAACCACTGTGTAACCTAATCATGTTAAGAATCTCAGAAGGGGGGCATGAGAGATGGCTCTATGGTTAAGAGTGTGTATGTACCACTCTTGTAGAGGACTAGGATTCATTTCCAAGCACCTACATTCACAACCATCTACACTCCAGTTCCAGGGCAGCTGGACACCTTCTTCTGGCCTGAGGGCACCTGTACATACCCTCTCTAACATATCTACATACACATTAAAAACAAAAAGGCCTCTTAGCAGGTGTCAAGATGAAAGTCTAGTCAAGTACCACTTCTGGACACATACCTTCACAGAGTCAGCGATCTCCTGTACACCCTTAGCAGCTGCATCTTTTATGATTGGTGTAATTAAACCTTTATCAGTTGCCACAGCCACTGAAATGTCCACAGAGGGCAGCTGCTTTGGGCCTTCTCCATCCCAGCTGACATTAACCCCAGGCATTTGCTGCAAGTAGGAAAGAAACATGCTATGAAGGAAGCAGTTTGAGATTAAAGTAGTCAGAGAAATGTGACTTCCATTATTGTGCATGGGAATACACCTGGACAGAAGGAAATACATAAGACTTTGGTTTGGGAAAAAATGGCTTGGATCACCACTGATCACTGATCATGTTTGGGAAGAACAAACACTTATCGGCAGTATGACTGACACAATTCTGATAATATACATGTTTTGAACTATATGACCAATATGAACTTGAGGGGACAATGTAGCAGAAAGCAGTAGTGACATTCAACTACTTTTCTTTGTCATGAAAACTTGTATTTTTAGCATATCTCTGTAATACATATTAGCAAGCCTTCAGTAAATGAGTACCCTATTTAAAAGAAATTTCCTGAGCATCACAAAAAGAGATAGATATTACAGGTGCACAGGCACAGATTTAACATAAAGAGAACTACCCTTAAGGATGAAAAGAATATACAAAATGACTAAATGCCTAGAAGTTGTGTATTGATGTTGTATTGATGAGTTTCACAGGACAAAACCAGTGCAGAATACAGAAATCAAAAGCCAGCTTCTCTTCTCAGAAATCCTCTGCTTCCGGCAGAGTAAGGTTGAAGTGTCCAGGCATGTCATTTACCAAGGGAAGAGAGGCCTGCCTCTGCTCTGTCTGTTTTGCTGTGCTTGTGCCTCTCTGCTAGGATGACTTCCTCACTTACGTGGACTCTCGTTTTTACTCTACACTGTAATTAGTCAGCTGTTCTTAGAACTTCTCTGTACTGTCCATTCACAACACTGTCACAATGTTAAAATAGTAAAAAACAAGTCCTAATCCCTCGAAAGATTCCAAATTCTTCAGATCATACAAAATACAGAAAACAAGGGGCTGGAGAGATGGCTCAGGCTGACAGCTTATACTGCTCTTCTAGAGGGTCAGGGCTTGATGCCCAGTGTCCACTTCAGGTGGCACAGAGCCACTTGTAACTCCAGCTTGAAGGGATCTGAAGCCCTCTTAAAGACTCCATGGGTGTACACACACATGTACAAGCCCATGCACACAAACACACACACACACACACACACACACACACACACACCAAACCCCCAACATGGAAGGCTATCTTGGAATTACATTTATTTAATAATTATATAATGAAGACCCGCAGGATATAATCTAAATTGGATTCAAAACAATATTCATAATCTTAACCCTCTTTACAAATTACTAAAATGAATTCCACACTCAAGTTTTCTAACACAGACCTAAGCAAAGGAAGAAACACACAATAACAAAAGGAAATGGAAACACAGGTCTGCAACAATACAAGAAGGTCATTTAAAATGTCTCAGACAACATCAACACTGAAGAATCATAGCAGAAGCTTCAGGTTAACATGTTTGGGAAACTGCACGACACAGGCAACTTTCTGGGAAAATATATACTTCAAAAATGAAGAGAAGGCTGAAAATCAGGCAAATAGTAACTATGAAGGAAAATGAGAAAGCACCAAGATCTCATAAATATCAACTAGACTCAGTGAATTCTATAAAACTAAAAATAAAAGCCCTTTTAATTACCTGAAATGAGTACAGGTAAAGTTAAAGCAAAGAGCCAGAATTCATTTCATCAAGTCCCATCAGGGCTGGAGAGTGACAGGACAATGCAGAAACAGAGCACCTGCATGGCATGGCTAAGGACTTGGGTGATCCAGTACCCAAAACAAAACAAAACTCCATAAAGTCACAACTGCAGAAACCATGGAGGCTTTTGTTTATGCTGTCACTCATTGTAACTGCTCAGACTTACTCTTCACTTAGTACAACAGGGGACAATTAGTGTTTACTGAATAAATGATCCTTATTCTGCTATAATTACTTTGGGAGTCCTTTTGATTTTCAGTTTCCTTACCTGTAAAGCAAACAAGATTAAGTAACAGGATATTTTTAGCAATAAAATTATACACATCTTAAGCTATGAGACATTTAGAAGCCATAGTTATTTTGCTTTGGCCACTTACTTTAAGAGTAACAGCTGCTGCTCTGATGATAAAGTCATTCACTGAGACTTTAACATCGTCTGAAAGAAAAATAAAGCATATTCAAACCAGTATTTGTAACACCGACCCTTATGACTTCAACTTGTAGATTATGACAAGTCTGGCATACAGTGATGAAAAAACACCAGATCTACATTTGCTTCATGATGCAGGTCTCCTTGCTTTAGCAAAATGTGGATTAAACAAAGACCTAACACAGTGGAAGTCAGGACACAAAAGCTCACTATTGTAGGGGTTGAGGTACAGCAGTGGTAATCTGCGCTACTATGCTCAGGACCTTGCATTCCATTTTCAGTGGAATTCTTCTCCACCAAAGTTCACCTCTAAGCCTTGATTACCATTTTGTGAAGTTATTCGGAAGTCATGCACGAGAACTTGAAGAACACATTATAACTACAGTCAAATAAAAGGCCCAACTAGGACGCCACTAAAGAGCAAACAATCTATACACTTGTGTAGAATTTTTTCACTTCCAAATGTCTTTAGTCTATGCACATTTTATAATATATTGATATACTAGAAGAGCAATGTATGTAAGTACATCAAATAATTACTGTATTTATAAAGGGCACTTAAATTTCCTTTTTTACTACAAAGTGTACATCAAAAAGAATGTAAGACAGCACCTTTAAGCACTAAACAGGGCTTAAATGGAATCTGCTTTTTAACTCAATGTCAAAGGACACAGCAACTTTCAAAGTAATGCTGGCATAGTCCTAGCTCAAATGCCGAGGAGCTCTGTAAATTTATGGCAAACCCACATGGCTAAATTTCCTTTGCAGTATACATACATAATACATAATATTTGAAGGGCAAAGTGGAGTCCCCTCCCTTTCCATGTCACTGATCATAACTGACTTTTCCCTTTGCTACTGCCAATGGGTATGATGGTACCTGAGAAGGTAAAGCACACCCCTTTCTTTTAAAAATTTGTAGAAAGACTTAAGATCACGATCTAGTGAATAACATATGGAAAGAAACATGTATCCTGTTACTGCGGCATCAATGAATTCTCTGTGAACAATAGCTCACTACAAAAGTATATGGGAGATTTTAAACAGAGCTTAGACAAACTGTACTGGCCCGTACACTACAAAACCATGCAGAAAGTGTCAGCTGCACACCAGTCTTCTAGTCACAAGCCAGAACTATATATGCATTCTGTTTGGTTTGTTAAAAATCTCCCCTAGGAGTAGAAAGATAAGTGCATTTCCAGTATTTGGATACATTATAAGGATAACCACAGGCTAAAGATTTGGTCCGTACAAATCCAAATATATGGTAGTCATACTGGGACCTCATTCTGCTGACTTCTCCTAGCCCCCTCAGCTGCTTCAACAGGCATACAATGACAACCCAGAATCCTATGGCCATAAGCACCAGCCAGTAACACTGCCTAAGTCCACAGTGCTCACCTAGAATTCTCTCCTCATCGTACTTCAGTCCTTAGAACCACTCTGCACACGATCACTTTTTTCACCTTGAACACTTGCACTTACTGACTTCCTTGGTTGCCCAGACTCTCCAGGTCCTCCTCTCTGACTACTCACTTACTCTTAGTGTTCATATGCTCCTGACAGGAACTTTCAGTTCCATGGTTCTGATGCAGTAAGATGATGATAACTCCCGCGCCCCCCAATTCCACTTCTAACTTTCATGTTCAGACTGTATATCCACCCAGCTTCACGTAAGATGGTTCTCTCTCCAAGGCTACAGGTTTCTCAGATCCAAGATGTGCAAAGGTGACTTAAGCAACTATTTTTATTTTCAATTCCTTACTATGGGAAATTTCAAGTACTGATGATAGTTAGTAAAAATATAGTTAAGAAACCGAATTTGGTAATGCTCACCTATAACCCTATGTGCAAAGCTAGGCATAGGATGATCATGAATCTCTGTGAGCTACAAAGAGAACTTACCTGAAAATACCAAACAAACAAACCCAGTATCAGTTAAAATCCCTCTTAAATTCTATTAATATTAAAAAAAGAATCCTACAAAACACTTCCATAAAGTAAAGGAGGAAGAAACATTTTCCAACTTTTCTACAAGATCTGAACACAAATGCTGTGAACACAAACAAACCCAAGGAAAGAAAGCAGAATGGCAGTATTTCTTACTTATATAATAAATATAATTATACATATACAGACTAGCTGGGAACTTGTAATACTCTTATCCCAGCCTCCTGAGTGCCACTGACACCCAGCCGATGGAAAGATTCTTAACAAAATGTTAATAAAATCAAACAGTAAATGAAGAAGCTTTGTGTGAGGAATATTGGGTTGATTTAACAACTGAAATTCAGCCAATGTAATTTGGCATCTTAACCAAAAGGGAAAGGTTCTCTCAAAAGATGACCAAAAACTTTTTGACAAAAATTTGGCATCTACTCATGCTTAAAATTCTCAGAATACAGAGACTGGGAACTTCCTCAACCTGAAAAAGATCTATAAAAAACTTACTGTAAATGTTAAAGAATGAATGCTTCTCCCCACCCAAAACACAGGAAGATGTAAAGAATATGTGCCTATACTACTGACATTTGTCATGGTACCAAAAATCTTAGCCAGTGCAATAAGGAAATAAAAAACAAATGGATTGGGAAGGTTGAAATAAAATCTTCATGCTAACAATCCACACCTCTTCGAAACTTTATTTTGAAATGTGTTTGGAGAGATAACTCAATTTAATATCAGAAAACATATTTTAAAAATACAATTAAAAATTGCATAAAGAAGGGTGGCACCCACGTGATGTCTAAAATGTACTTACCACCCAAAGCACTCTTAAATCAGATAAGATCTTTGTCTACCTAGTACTGTGAAAAGGAATTCAAAATTAAGATAAGCATTTAGCCTGAGCAAGTCATTCATCTATCCTTACCAAAACAAAACAATCAACCAGCCAAACAAAAACCACCAAGTTAAGGGAAGCAAAAATATTAAGCTTACTTTTACTTATGAAAAAGTGACACCATAATACTACTGGCAGGGCTCTGTGTGTGGCAGAGTGTAGGATGAATGTGAACTGAACAACAGGCTGGAAACATCACAAAGGAGATTTTGGAAAGAAAGCATGGAAGAATAGAAATCCTTATTGTACAAAGTAATAATCTGTGATTAATTCAATATTATGCACCCACTCTATTTCATGTAAGAAAAAACCCATTAATTCCCCCACCAATCCCTATGCTAAAACAAGCCAGAGTAGAGTGCAATCAGGTTATGAAATGATTAAAAGTGACACAAGGTACATTTTACAAAGGACTTGATCATCAGGTTAGCATACATTCTGCATTAAGTACATTCAACTTTACTGACCTTTGACCAGATCTTGTCTAACTTTTAAAACTGCTCCAAGGTCACAGTCAGCAGTAGCATAGGCATGAGGCACAGTGCTTTTTGACTCAGTTAACCTCTTGGCAATAACTCTCCGAATGTTGCTGGCAGGAATTTCAGTAAATGTGCCCTGCAAAAAAAAAAAAAAAAAAAAAAAAAAAAAAAAAGCAATTAGTCCAGAAAAATGTAAGTAAGAAAAATGTAAGAATCAGAGAAAAAAAAAAATAAACTACCTATCTGAAATCCAGTCTTATAATTTATGACATAAAAGATTAATTTAAGAAAAGTACTATTAGAAATCTTTATATAAAGGGAGAATATAAGAAATATAAGTATCTGGCTTGAGTTTACACAACTATAGACAAAAATAGCAAAATTTGTATTTCAGTAATGAGTAAGACATCTTATATTACCATGTTTAAGATAGCTAGAAATAAACCAACCCATCATCACCATGTACATATGTACCATTTGTGTACATACAGACATGTTGAATATGGGAGGAACACATCACTATAAACATATGTACAATGCATATATGTGCACATATGCACAGGTATGTTGAGTATGAGGAGAAGACAGAAAGAACTCTCTACCTATCCATCCAGTCAGCCTGTAGGCAGATTTTATTACAAATGCTGACTATAGGCAATTCTTAAAAAAATGGCATACTATAGAAAAAGGCAACACATTACATAATGGATAATCAGTCACAGAACATATGTTTTTGTAATTTAAAAATAATCATGAATATCTTATTTCCTAGGAATTTAAAATATAAAGTATAAATGATATAATAAAAATCTTCCTGCAATTTTAATATAAATTTTCTTGTAAAGGCATGGGTGTCCAATTACATTTAATCCCTTCCTCACCCTTCATTCCATTCTAGGATGGAATTATAGCCACCAAAGGATAATTAAAAAAAAAACAAAAAAACAATAATTTATTTTTCTTTTATAAATGATATTTTAAGGACACTTTCTGTTAGCAAAGTGTTCTGATCACATGCTCTCTATATCCTGTGATTATTTGAAAGACTTATCTTCCTACTTTGAATAACTTACTACAGCAACTCTAAGGAAGATCTGACACCAACAAATTTTTATGCAGACAGTACAATGTTAATGTGCATAAAAAAGTTGCCTATGAAACTTAGTCCTCAGTCCTTTCCAAACATGATAAAGAACAATCTTCTCTATTAGTGGGAGCAGTGTGCGTTTACCTCCCTGATTTTAAAGGGACACAGAGAAGAAAAATAGGATAAACAGAAGAAGAAAACCACAACAACTGTGACACTGCTTGTCTCTGAGGAACAAAGTAGACTGTTGTACAGTAAATTCTAAATAGCTCTTCATTCCCTCAACAAAAAACAAATATACCCATAAAAAGGATCTACAAGTTATCCAAGGAAAATGCCATGGCTACAGCACACATGTACTGCACTGAGGGGTTAGAATTCGTGGTAAAATGGAACAGAATCACAGTTATACTTGGAAGACAGTGCCATATAAACCATTCCATTTGTGCCAGAAATCTACAAGAAAACCATTTGGGGTACTGTCTACATTTACAACTTTAAGCTACTGTTAAAATGGATTGATAAAAAGTACCTATAAAGCACACAGTGCCTGTTTTTATTTTCTTTCTCATAAAATCTTACTGAGAAGACCTTACCGTTGCATTAGGTTGCCCAGGGATGGATACTGGTGGGATCATTGGCCTAGGGTAAGATGGCCCGCCTGTGGCTGGAGGAGGCACAGATGCCGACAGAGTAGGGGCTGGTCTGGATTCTGTAATCTTGCCCATCTGTTTCAACTCAACTAACTTGAGCGCATCTCTGGAAATGAGAGGAATATAGACTTAAAAAAACAGTGCTGAGGTGTGAGAGGAAGATAAACACTAAAAACAAATATTACAAAATCTAAGCAAGTCTTTCCTCTAGACCAGAGGTTCTCAGCCTATGGGTCTTGACCCCTTTGGGGCTTTGTATCAGATATTTACATTACAATTCATAGCAGCAGCAAAATTACAGTTATAAAGTAGCAACAAAATATTTTCATGGTTGGGGCCACCACAACATGAGGGCTGTATTAAAGGGTCAAAGTGTTAGGAAGGATGAGAACCACTGGCCTAGACGGTCTTCTGATTCTTTTTAGGTATCCAATGGATAGTCATACATTTTCAAAACCCAATTAATAATTTGAATTTATAATAATTAGAACTCAATGGGCATATCTGAGATAATTCTTTCTCAAATAAAGCCTCTTGCTTAACTTAGTATCTTATTCTAGATGATGAGCAAAATTCTGTGATAGGTCTATCTATTTGATCCTAGAGTGTACCCCACATAACCCCTCAGTATTGGGTAAAGATAGTAATTTTTATTAAAAAGAAAACTTGTCTTTTAATGGGAGACAAGTATCACTAGTTAGATGAGCAATGTAGTAATTAAAACATTTTACTCTATGTTCATGTCAGAGTTGTCACATGGCATTCAGAAAGTGCCATGTTCATAATACCTATGGCTTTCATACAAATACTTGCTAAATTATTATCACTTAGAATAAAAAATAAATGAAGTACTTACAGACCCATGTTTCATACTACTTTGTAAAACAAAGGTGCATTTGTTTACAAAGGGATATAATTAAGACTATAAGATATGTGAAGTCCTGAGTTCAGTTTGCTAGGTTATAGTTAGCTGTCAACTTGACACAGCCTAGAGTCATCTGAGAAGGGAGTCTTAATTAAAGGATTGTCCAGGTTGAACTGGCCTGTGGGCATGTCTGTGGGGTACTATCTTGATTGTTAATTGATATAGGAGTACCCAACCCACCCTGTGTGGCACCAGTCCCTCTAAGGCATTTCTGTGCAGGTGTTCTTGGAATATTTTAGATGAGAGATCAAGCTGACAAAACAACTGAAATGCTACATCATTCTGGATTCCTATAACTGAAAGAGTGGGGGAAGAGTAGGAAGAGCCAACCAAGTGTCACATGTTATGTAACTCACATCAGCTAGGTGGGAGAGGTATTACTCCTAGTTTAGACACACGTGGACTCAAAACAGTTACACTCAGTATGTAATTCAGTCTGTCTCAAACACCCACTCATTCCAGGTGCTGGGAAAAAATGTCCTTAGATAAGACTCTTCCCAACAAGCTTTATTCTACATAGCAGTCATCCATCAGTCACACGAACAAACTAGAACAATGGAAACCATCCTTTAAAAGGAACACAGCTGAGTAATGAGACAGAGCAATGAGTGAGAAGTCTGGTTATTTTAAAACAGACAGCCTGGGCAGATTGGACATTTATGAAGGATGGTGTAGATAGGCAGGTAAAAAGGCTGGGAGAAGGGTGTATCTAGGCAGAAAACATGTGACTTCCAAGAAGATGAAGTTTCTAAGAGAAGGAAGGCCAGAACAGAAATGTGGTGAGCAAGGTGGGGAGGAAGGCAGCTGAGTACATCCAGGGTTGAGAACACTTGGGTATGTCCAGGTTCAGAGCCAGCTGCAAAGCCTGTGTGCGGTTTCTACCTCTCTAAAAACAGTAGACATACTATGCTAATTAAATAAAGTGAAAGCAGAGCTGTCTCCTAAGAACAGACTAGCTAAGAATTAACCCACAATGAGCAGAATGCTAGGACTGAACAAGGAATTGGAATGTGCCTAATCTAAAATTAACAGTAGGACCTTCTGACAAGGTCCCTTTACTCACCATATACAAAGTCACAGAAGAAAAGCTGTTGGCAGTACTGCTTCTTACAACCTGGAGATGGTGACAGAGTGGCAGAGGAAGTAAAGGGGACAAGTGTCCCAAGGAGTAATCTATGGACCTCTGGACCTCTTTAAAGGTTTTTTTTTTTTTTTTTAACCAGCTTACTTCCACGTGGAAATCAATATTTACCCATAATATTTATAACCTAAACCCAAACTGTGTCAAGGTCAATGACAGCTGACACAATTCCTGGAGACTGATGTCATTAGCCCAAATGCCATCTAGATGAATATGTAAGCACTGATATAAAATAAAACCTACTGACTCAGAACAATACCTCCCAGAAAGGAAATTTCCCTTTCTAGAGTGTTTTTAAGTTACAAACCAACGTTATAGACCCTTCCCATTTTTGTGAAATAATTAAATGCTTATCTAGCAAAGTGTATTATCCCCAAAAACCAGCCACATCTTCTCACACAGATTTTTAGCTTTCTCAGTCATCAGATGAAAACAAACACAAGGACATAATAAACATCTAACAGGCTGGTACCTGACTCATCAATCTAAAAACAACGAGGGTGGTGGTGTTAATTAGGCACAGCCCTATCTCCCTGTTGGCGTGACTGCTTCATCAAGGAAGATGTGAGTTGGTTTTACTTCTGAAGTAATTAAGATTACTGGGCAAAATAGTACTTGGTGAGGAATAAAAGTGAAGAGGAGCCATTAATCATAAAAAAGTAGCAAATAATTCTGACCAGTGATTTGCAATAAACTTTTATTATTGATTTTACTATTATATAGCTCATGAAGTATAACTGTTAACTGTTGTTTAGTAACAGCCAACAACTTAGCTGCTATAATGCAGAGATGATTTTAATAATTTCTGCCCATTAAAACAATTAATCAGATTAAACTGGAAGCATTGACTGGACATTAAAGACTCTAAAAAAGGAGAAAATAAATGAATTGCTTGGGAAATTAGCTCAGGTACAACCTTTCCCACCCCTCAGAAGGTAGTTAACTCTGGTGCATCATTTACTAATTTTAAGGACTATTACTTAAAATCAGACAACTGCCAACATGCCAAGGTTTGATGCTGTGGTTGACATAAACAAAAACATTAAGTCCAGTTCTGATTTAATAGTCATATATACTAAAGATAATAAATAAGGCAAAGATTCTAACCATGCTCACGAACCTCTGACTGTAGCCTGCACTTGTCTTGAAAGAGTCACACGGGCAGGTGGGCTGATGACTCAAGGCTTCCTCACAACACGTACCTAGAGCACTAACTTTGTTTTAAGATGAAATTAAAAGACAGCTCTGAGCCTGTGCTCTTCTCCACAGACACAATGGCTCAGCAGTGTGGCTCAGCGGCCAGGACCAGTGTCATATCACTCGCCCTGTGTCCTCAACTGAGGAGAAGCAGATGGGAGATGGCACTCATCATTTCCAGGGCATGTGCTAAGGCATAGTTGGGGAAGCTCAGGCCAAAGTCTTGAGCTTTACAACTGTTTTAGAAGAGTGCATTTCTGTTGGAGCCACCGGGACAATGTCTCTCTCTAAACTTCACTTTAATGTCAAACAAAAAGCAAAAACCCTGTATAGCACACGCACTAAGGATAGCTTTTTCTCATGAAATCTGTAAAGGTTCATACTTAGAAGACTCAAGTTGACTTCCTTCTGGTAGAGAAGGCATATAGGCTGGGGAAAGAACTGGTAAATAGTGGGAGAAAGAAGGCAGAAGCATCCTAAGCACAGTTCTTAACACTGTTTCCTTAGAGTATCAAGAAGACAACTGTATTAACACAATTTTAAACCAGTTCTTAAAATACTTGTGTATGCATTAAGCATAGTGGCACACGGCGGACAGGAGAAAGGCTACTACATGTTCAAAGCCAGCCTAGTCTATGTGGTGAAACCCTGACTCAGGGAAAACAAAACAAAACAAAACAAAACAAAACAAAACAAAAACATTAAGTCCCATGTCTTTGTTCTACTGTTGCCCTACTATGAAGCTGCTTTCCCAAAGGGTACCTAGTCACCAGGTTCAGGAACCTTTCCTCGGACCCTATATTCCTTGACTTGTGGACCATTTCCCAATATCCTACCACAGAAATTTAGTCTTCTAAATGATGCAGCTGCTGCTGATCTCTATGACAACCACTGCTTCATGATCTACTCAAACTATCTCCTTCATCTTCATCATCTGATCCCTAGAAGGCTTCTCAGTGCTGACAATAAGCTTAGACATCAGTTACTCTGCTAAGGTGAGCTCTTCCTCAAACCCCTTATCCAATCTACTTCTGGAGCCAAGATTTCAATTACCCAGAACAGGATCCCAGATGTCTTTTGCATGACTTCCAACCATGTGAAGGGCAGTATTCATTACCTCCTGCCTGCGTTACTTGATTTTCTCTACCTCAACTGATCCCCTTACCTCAGAGGCCCTTATCTGTTGCAATTTATACTGCACAAACTTGCCATGTTGATCCTTCTCAGGTATAGCTATAATTATTTTGCATTTCTTCAAATCTTCAGTGGTTAATGAATTAAACAGGCCCTTTATCCTATCCCTCAGATAACAGACAAGGAAAATCTGTCTTATGATTATTGTCTTAGTGTGTCTCCCCCCACCCCCTTTGGTTTGGCTTTTTGAAACAGGATTTCTCTGTGTAGCTTTGGAGCCTGTCTTGGAACTCAATTTGTAGACCAGGCTAGCCTTGAACTCACATAGATCCACCTGCTTCTGCCTCCCAAGTGCTGGGATAAAAGTCATTACCACCCAGCATCTTAGTCCATTTTTGCAGAGTTCTACTAAGGTACAGACTGGAGGGTGACTAACAAAATTAAGATATAAGCTAGTGAAAAACAGACCAGTCCCTGGGCCAGACCACCACTTTTTTTCTATTTGCTCTACCTAAATTTATAAAAATTCTAGGCAACATCATCATTTCCAATCAATATTCACTAAGCTTAGAATAAACACAATTCTAAAAATGTGAACTCTGTCCCAAATATTCAGCAACTGCCAACAGCAAAGGTGCACACATTTCTATTGGTGACTTTACATATGGTCGTAAGCCCATTTGATTAGCCTTTGTTGTACCTTTATTAGGCTAAGTCCTATTAGAGAAAGGCTCATCTGTATTAATAGACTCTTAATTAATAGACAATTTTAAGCAAAGATGCACCAATTTCTTGAGTGGAAAGTTGTTCACATATAGAGGTCATGTCTTAGCTAATTCAACACATCTCATAAATGATCATGTTCTTCCCCCAGTCCACAGAACCCTAAGAACTGTTTTACATTCAGGAGGAGGATATACCAATACAGCTACTTTGTTGAAAAAAAATGAACAAAGGAAATCTGATGTGTATATTAGATTTTAAAGCATACTGTAAAACATTTGTAATTAAAATGGTATCAACTCAGACAGATCAATGAAAGAGAAAGGAAATCTCCAAAGAGAATTGACTGCAGACGGAGACACCTCTGGAAAAAGTAAACAGTCTGAAGATCGAAGGATTAAATTATTTTAAAAAGTATATTGCCATATCTGGGAAATTTAAATGGGATTGGTGATGATTTTATAACCAGTTGAAGTACATTTCTCTGCTCTGTGCTCTCATTTTCGACATTATCACTAGTTCTAAGAATGTGGCTTAGTTACTAAATTAGACCTATTTCTTAATAATGGTACAATTATTGAGAAAACAATCCTTGCATAGATCATAATTTACACTAACAAAAGCAATTAAAACCACACGAGAACAGTGTACCACATTTTAAATTTCAACACAGAATAAGCTCTTCAAATCTTTTCAGAACAAGATAGTGAAGGGATTGATGATTACAAAACCACACACATACTCTTTAGTGAAGATCCCTCGAGGGCCTGTGGCTGTGCCCTGGCTGGCATCCAATGAATGTTTTTCCAGAATGTTTCGGGCAGCTGGACTTAAGCGAAACCTAAGAATAAAAACATGAAGATGAATGAAACTAATTAACACATTGATTCAAATAGATCTAAATGTCAACAGTTTTGCTGATAATTAGAAAGTAAAATCTTAACACTGAAGCTAAAGTGACTCTCAAAGATGGTCACAGTCACATAAATTAATCTATATCAATCTATTTTATTGTCAAGACACTTTTGTAAAGCAGTAAGTAGTTACCAATTCAAATAATCTTTAAATAAGGGTAAACATTCACTAGGAGAAAGAGCACCCAATTTGACTGATTACATGTCGTATGGCTCTGCATCACTGACACCAAGAGGGAACCAACCATGGTGCTCCTTCATATACTTAGCACAGTACAACCATAAGCTAAATTTCTACTCCAAGCACTTTTCAGTATGTAATGGAGCAGCTTTGAGTGCAAGTACACTGCTGTGTAAGCACCATTGCCATCTATTGCTGGATTCTCTCATCTTCCCAAATGCCAGCTCTGCACCCACTCAACAGTAACTCTTCATTCCTCTGATTTGGGATCCCCTGTCCTACTGTCCCTCCCAGTCAAGTCTTCATGAATGTAAAAAGAAAAATATAGTATTTGTCCTTTTGTGGCTGGTTTGTCTAATGGCTTCAAGGTTCATTTATGTACTAGTTAGTATGTATTGGATTATCTTTCCTTTCCAGGCTAAATGCTTCAGTTCACATACATAGCATTTTGGAAGTATGAGTTGTTTCTACTACTGTGAAGAATACATGAACACAGATTCAAAAACACTGAATCATTGCTTCTGATTCTTCTGTGTACAGATCCCGGAGTATTAGAAGTTGCTGGATGATAGAGAAATCCTCCTTGAGATGTTCTGAGGACCTGCCATGGAGTTTTCCACAGCAGCCTTTTGACTTTACATCCTCACTCGTATGTGTTCGAGGGCTCCAGAGAATCCACACATAATTGCTATACTCTGGGGTATCTGAAAGCAGACATCTTTCTAGGTGTGCAGTGGTGTCACATAGTGGTGGAGTCCATTTTCATGTGTCTACCAGCCACCTCAGCACTGGAAGAAGTAGCTCTAAGCCCTTCTACTTCGAATTAGATTGTTCTGCTGTTTCAGAATTGTACTTTTGATGCATGTTTTCAAGTTCTTGGTATAAATATGAACACACCCAGCAGAAAACTCTACTGATTTTACAGGCAAAGAGCTGAGGTACACGGTCCTGTCCTATAGCTGATAAGTGTACTGTAAATGTCTATGTACTCAGACAAATGAAGTAAAACAAGCTGGGTCAGATGGTTTAAAAGAAGCAAATAGAGGGGGTCAACTGTGATGCTCCCTAGAATTTTGGAGAAATAGACCCAGGTGAAAGGCTCTCATGCTACTAAGTCTTTGTTAGATTTTTCAGGACTCTGAAATTTTTTTATTTTTTTTCTGGAAGATAAAACTGATTGACTGCAAAGCAATTTTGAAAAGTCATAGTGTGGTCAATACTGTGTAGTTCCATGGGTCAGGTGGTTTTAACAGGTCATGGCATATTCATAAGAGTGTCTAATCATGGCTAGTCTTAGCTAGACAGAGCACACACAGTGTTATCTCTGTAATGCAGAGAGGACTGTGAGGCACAACACAGGTGACATGGCTTCTGACTATTACAAGTCAGAGAGGTGAACACAGGGAGCCTGGGCATGGAACTCAGAACTACTCTGTGGTAAGAGGAACTGAAAAATCATTAGTGAATACCCAGATGCGATCATTACTGTACTTTTTGATCAAATCATCACAGTATGCTTTGTACACAGTGATGCCGGGGCTGAGCCATGAGCACCTGAGTTTGGATCCCCAGTACCCACATAAAAGCCCAGTGTAGAGGTGCATATTGCTCAACACTGGTACTGGTGAGGCAGGGACAATGTTCACAAGGATCTGTTCTATCACAGGATGGTTGGGGGAAAAAATCTACTCCTGTCAGGATCTCAAATACAGAACTATTTGAACAGGAACACATGCTAAAATGACAATTCTATCTCATATCAATTATACTCTGGAGACCAGAATTCACATTTTAGTAATTAGAATTCTGTGAATGGGAACAGAAAAAATGAAGCTTGGTCTCATGAGTGTCATTCTGTAATTTTATTCTATATTGGGCAAGCAAGGCTTTTAGGGGGCCCAAACAAAACAGGTATTCACTAACATCAAATGAAGAAGGATGTAAAATAATCATTGTTACATTGTCCTAAGAGGAAAAAGTGGAAGACCAGCAAATCCCAATGATAATGCTTGGAATAGGATACCGATTTCAAACCTCAAAACAATCCTAACCATTTTTACATGATAATAATCATGTTTGATTTGAACATACGTGCACACTCACCGAGGTGTTCCTTCTGTGTGTTCCTTCCTGGCAGGGCTCGAAATCTGTGGCTGTGGAGAGGGCTGAGGTGGCACTGCTGGTTTTGAAACTGGAGGTAGTTTTGAAACTGGAGGTGGAGCACCGACATCTTTGGGAATTTCCACATGTTTCCAATCTTCTCCTTCTTCAACCATCAAGCCAATGAGTGAACCCAGCTTTATATTTTTAGCCCCTTCTTCAACCTATTTATAAAAATAAATAATGGTTAAAAATGGAAAGACCCAGGATCACAGAAAGTCACTAATTCTGCACGTGTGAGAAAGACTGCCACCTTCTGCCCCCTGCACCCTCTCATTCCTCCTCCTCTTCCAGTACTAATGCTGCCTCTGGAAATGAGCGAGACCCAGGCCCTTTGCTTACAGCCTTCAAAACCAGAGCTTCCCTTACTTCTTTGATGTCTACTAATTCACATCCATGGAGGCTGTGGTTAGAGATGTCAGTTACTTATCTTCACTAGTTTTTACAATAGTTTCAGAATTTTAACAGCTCCTAAGGGATTAAATTATAGTCCTATCTACTAGAATATAATTTTAAGTAAGCTTTTCCCAGTAAATTTAGTCTGTGGGGAGAAAGTGTCCCATTATGAAGATAAAGCTAGTTAATGATTCTGGTTAATTTAAGGATAGGTTATGTCTTTCTCTATTACTTAAATCTTTCCTGGAATATCTACTTAAAAACCCAGGAAATGTATCATGAGTTTTTCATGAATGCATCAATGACACAGTGGTGTCCTAACTAATAAGACAGTTTTCAGATAGTATCTGTCAACTAAAAATCTAAATTAGATAAAGACTTCTTTAAGACAAAAATATTTTAAACATGCCAACAGCAATTAATTTATTAAAAGAGGACAATATTGAATAGTTTTGGTAGTGTAAGACAATGCTATTCCTTTAAGATTTCCTCCTCCTTCCTGCTTCACTGAGAAGTCTGCACAACACTCTAGGCCTATAGGCTGGAGATAGATGCCCCAACCAAAAAAGGAAAAAAAAAAAAAAAAGAACTTTGGGTGACTGTCCAGGCAGTGAGATGTCTGTTAACTCTAGAGTTTACATATTATCCTTCAGAGGTCTTTGATGGACTTGAAGACAGATAGTTATGGTTATGGTTTTCCTTAGTTATGATAAAAGATAAGGTACACATAAAACTCACACAGATAGAAAATAGAATATTTTCTTTAAATTTTGCCAAATGTTAATGGACTAAGTATTGTAACTATAGTTCTTGCTTGATAACTGTTTTGTTATATATAATTTTACTATGTTAAAATTAAAACCTTTCTTTTTATTTAGAAAAGAGGAGATGATGGGGAAATGTCCTCCTGTATGCTGTGAATATTATGTTTCTCTTACTGGTTTAATAAAACACTGATTGGCCAGTAGCCAGGCAGGAAGTATAGGTGGGGCTACCAGACTAGGAGAATGCTGGGAAGAGGAAGGCAGTGAGTGAGTCAACAGGGAGACGCCATGTAGCCACCAGGAAGACAGGATGCCTGGCCATTCTCCAGTAAGCCAAGACCATGCAGAGATACACAGATTAATAGAAATGGGTTAATGATTAAGAGAGAGCTAGCCAATAAGAATTCTGAGCCATCGGCCTAACAGTTTATAGTTAATATAATCATCAGCGTGTTTATGTAGGACTAAAGGACTTCGGAACCAGGTGTGACAGAGACTCCCATTACAGGATCCATTGCATCTGCAATTATGGATGACTGGAAGCCACCATGTGGATGTTGGGAACTGAACTTGGGTCCTCAGCAAGAACAACAAGTATTCTTAATAGGGAGCCATCTCTCCAGCCCCACCTTTTCTTTTTAAAAAGATGAGTAAAAATTATAATGGGTTTGTATCTTTTCTTCTCCTACCTGCTGATGAATTGTTAACTGAATATCAAAAAGCAACTAATTAAAAAGACAACAAAACAACAGTGTTATGAAGTACACTTCCTTTCAAAACTGAACCAGATAAAAATCAATGTCTACTTACAATCCCCCCCAAAAAACCAAAAACTTCCCCTCCCCCAAGAAACCTCACAAAACAAAAAAGGCTAAGATTCTAATAACAAGCAATTTAGGGGAAAACTTCCACTTCAGAATATAAATAGATTTCTGGAAAGTGACTTGGACAACATCCTAACCCTGAAACTGACACCTCACTTTCTGTTTCACTTACTACAAAGCATACAAATAACTCCCCACATACCCTAGCATAATGACAGGGACACATTACAGTCAGCTAGTAACTATTTGCTAGCAGCAACCAAGTAAATGCATCAAACTGGCATGCCTGGAAAAGACTTCTTACTGCGTTAAGGGAATAGGGAATGTCTAAAGTTCGTTTTAAGATTTTAACAGCATTAAGTGGAACTGTTATGATCATTCTTTTCTTTAAGTTTTGTTATATAGTCGATTGTAGAGTGATATATATCTGTTCTTTTCCATTGTATGCTTCTTGTTGTTAATTTTTTAAGTGAGGAAAGCTAATGATAAATACTATTTTTTTGATTTTTGGCATTACAAAATAACCAGTAAGCCAAGTAATTATTTAAATATTTTTATTCTTTTAAAATTGAACTGACTTTTGAAGTTCAAACAGCAGTTGGTACAGAGGAGTCGAATCGCATAACAGATATATTGGCTCAGGGTCTCTTTACAGTTTTAAACAGCTCTCACACCTCAGTATTACCTTCTTAGTTTATATATACACTTAAAAGGACGAAATATAAGAAGTACAAAGAAGAAAGCACATCAATGACAGCTAAAATGTAGAAGAAGAGACACTAAATCCAAGTAATAGCTGCCTGCCTTCCCAGTGCCAGGCAAGGTTCTATTGATACGTTCAATGCACCTGAAAACCCAAGAGGTAAATTAGTATCCCAATAAACAGATGAGGAGCCTGAAGCCCAAGGTTACAACTTGGTCAGGATGCCACAGCTAGGATTTAAGTGAACTGACCATAGATGGCGGCATGACTTAGATCAGCATCACACTGTTTGTGCATTGCTGCCTCCTGTCATCTCAAGTTGGTGCCAGTGTGGCCATAATTGACTAAGTTTTTAACTACGAAAGGACACCCTCAAACTGTATCACTTTGAAAAAAGATTAGAACTGAGAATATCCTCCACTTGGTAGAATTTTCTCTGAGCTTTTGAGAGGGCGCTTTCATAATTACAATATGATCTACAGAGATCTACACGGGTTCAAATTCTAAGTATAAGCCTTCACGTCCTAATATGCACTTATGAAGGTAACTGGGCAATTTAATGAAAACAGGAGGGAGTAACATAACAAAGCTTAACTGAAAAATAATGGAAAATGGCAATGCCATGGCGTTAGAGAAACAGCTGACACTGTAGAATGTAAACAATGCCGAGAATAACTGTTCAGTTCTTTATAATATCTAGATGATCGTCTTTTCTTAATTGCTTTACAGTTCATGGAACTTTGTTTTAAGACAGGGTTTCATATAGCCTATCTAGCCTGGCTTCTAACAAGCTATGTAGGCAACTATGACCTTGAATGTCTGATCCTCCTGCCTTTGCCTCCCAAGTGCTAGGATTACAGCCCTGCACCACCACAACTGGTGGCAGTGTTGTACATACATACACACATTCTTAAATAAAGATTGACTACTATGGAAAACTACCAATGGAATCAGTGAGATGGCTGAGTAGAGACACAGCCAAGCTTGTGCTCTAAGTATGATCCCCAGAACTCATATGGAGAAACCCACCTTCTACAAGTAGTCCTTTGACTGCCACATAAGCATCACAGCAAGTGCTCATGTATGTACACATACAAGTATACATACTGAATAAGCATACATTTTTTAATTTCAAAAAACTGGAAAGTGTAGTTGTATATTTGGATTATATGTATATATGTAATGTTTGCCATTGGAGACTAAATATTGTGGAAGCAGCATCAGAGAACTTCTAATAAACCTTTTTAATATGTCATCCCAGTCCTCTGAATACTAACCTGAAGACTAAGCTGACAAATTGATCTATGCGTATAATAATTAAAATTTCCTGCACAACTTACTATGACTCAAAAGAAAATTTAAAAGCCCTTGTACTAAATGAAATAAATTGGAACTAGGCCACAAAACTATTCACACAACAGTATTTATTCTTAATTAACATATTAGGAACATTTAAGTATCTCCTGGTTCTAATTAAAATGTAATAAATATTTTACATTTCAATGTAATTTAGATACAAAAGTTATAACATTGCTTACAAAGATAAGATTATGTGACAAAAGAACTCAGAAATTTCCCAGTGACCAAGGAATTACATTACCAAGAGTGAACAAGTTATACTTTGTAATCTTGTCAAAACTATGACTTCCAACTACACACAACTGCTTTAGTGATAATAGCTGCAGGATGTATTTACTAGTACCCTTACCTTTCATAATCTCAACCATCTCCTAGCAAATCATTTTATTATATTCACTAATGTGAGCACTATCCCATAATGAAAAGCAAAGACACAGCTCTTGCTTGGACAGAGAAGGGTGGAAGGAAAATAGGACTAGAAATATCACCTTAATGGCTTCTGTTCCCATTTGCCTGGTAAAACTGCACACAGGCAGCAATATACTGTTACTCTTCCCATTACTCAGAAAGCATTAGGACACTACCAAAATCACAAAGGCCTAAATCTATGTATATCCTCCCTCTGGTGGAAAAATAGCTGTCACTAAAGCAGCTGCTAACGGCCTCCATTTCCCACCTCTGTTCAGGGCATTAGGACTAGAAAAACAGACACTACTGACCCATTGGAATGGCTAGCAATTTGAAATGCATTACGGAGCAGTTAAGTGGAAAATGCTATTATCATGGAAGACTTATGCAGCCAAACAATCAAGAGCTGCAGCCAAGAACAGGCTGCCAAAAGCACACACTGGAAAATGTAGTTGAGTTTGAGGCATATGGTAAACCAAGCAATGTTTTTTTTTTTTTCTTTTGCAAAACACCATAAAATTATTAAGCAAACTACTTTCAGTATGGATTTTTCCAGTTATAAAGGCACAAAAGTATTTACCCTTTAATTCACATTTCCTTCAAGTGCATTAACTCTATGTTCATCGCTGTGTTTTAACTGAGATGCTGATAACATACATAGCAAGAAATGAATGTTGGAAATACTACAGTGTTAAGAATAAAACATCAAAGGCTAGGAAAACTAAGCCAACAAAGATCATTTTATAGTAGGAAACACAAATGACAAAAAGAAGGTCTATATGACACTAGAGTATAAAATCCTAAAGTACTGTGTATGTGAACAGAACAGACAAAAGCCAGGTTATACCTAAGTTTCACCTAGAGATGAACGGGGGTCTCAGACCCAAACACCCATCAACAAAGAAGGCCAACAGAGAGGCAGCTTGCTTGTGCAGTTCAAGTGGTAGAGGGCAAAATGGATACTCATTGCCCAGTCACGATCAGCCAATATGACATGCACTAAGAGTTACCAAGAACCAAGTAAACAGTGGCACTGATACATACAGCAGTACTACTGGAATTCTGTAGTGAACATTTATGTATTTTCTCACTTAATCTTCCCCACTTCACATTCTAAGACAAAGACTCCAACAAAATGAATTTGCTCCTCGTTACACGTCATGCAGAACTGGCAGCACCTTTCAGTTACTATCAACTGGCAGTGACTGTGCTGCCCACAGTCTCACCATACTGTCTGCTGTAGAGACATGCTGATGGGCTCTACAGTAAGCACATGGCACAGCCCAAAAGCCATGCTTCACCCACCCACAGCTTTGAGCCAGTTAAGTTATATTTGCTTTTGTATAAATGGTCTAAAATTCTATCCTAAAACCATCACATACATGACAAAAAAATCTAGGGGAAAAGAGCAATTACTAAATTTTGGCACTAAAACATTGTACATGTGATTTTAAAATGTATTATACAGTAAATACCAAGACAAACAGAAGGGATTTTATGTAAGGAATTTACATAAAGAAAGACAGTCACGTCTTACCACTATTTTGGCTAAGATGCCATCGTCGTTTGCATCTAAGGTGACCACAGCCTTGTCCGTCTCAATTTCACATAATGAGTCTCCAGCACTCACAGCTTCACCTAAAAAAAAACAAAATCAGGCTTGTTTTGTTATTCTGCTTTTTGGAAAAATTTAAACTTACATTTTATTTATTATTTAGTGTGTGTATGTGTGTATACATGCATTCAACTCATGGCTCATGTGGACATCTTGTGTCTTCTAAAAGCTCTATACTAAGTATATTTGCTATAATAAAAATGATTACAAATCTAGACCAAATATTAAAAATGAATTCATACCTATAGAGATAATAACAAACGCATTTCTTCTCTAGGATCAAGATTCTATGTCTGTTTATTTTTATTTTCTCTTTTTGAAATGAAGTCTCATGTCGTCTATGCTAAGCTTGAGTAGACAATGACAGCCTTGGAGTCCTGATCCTTCTTCCTCTCAGGTGACCTTCCCTTTTTTTTAAAGCACAATTTGACTAGTCCATTAAGAGAGACATTTTATCAATTTAATACTTTTTGGCTAACACTTTAGGGTAAATTCGGAAACCCTGATAGCACTACATAGCATGAGTAAACAAAGCATAAAAAGCATAAACAGAAAATAAAATACATTTCTATGCAACAGAAAAGAGATGAAACTCAAAATATGGCCAGGAGCCAGCACTGCAGACTTGCAGGGTTCTGGGCTGAGAAGCATGGAAAGGGATGCTGTGGGGCTGCAGGATGAGCAACCAAGGCTGTTGACAGACTATGACTTTCCTCAGGAGCTGAAGGGTACGAAATGGGAGGACTGAAAGCTCTCAACAACGTGAGCTATGGCAAGCTACTCCTGAAGACAAAACATGAACAAAACCCAGCATGTGGGGAACAAGCAGGAGGAAAGACATGGAAACAACAAAAAAACTGTCCACTCAAAAGCAAATCACAAAACAAGGTTCTCAAGCACGAAATCTAGTATCATGAAAACAAAATACACAATTAATAATTGGAACAGAAACTGAATTTTAGAAAAGACACTATAGCAAATATTTTCAAATAAATATTTTGAGGTAAAATAGCTATTACAAACACTAGGGATTTTTAAAAATTACAGAAATGAAACAAAATAGTGTCAAGGAAAAAAATTAAAAATTGTGGAAAGAACTCAAGCCACTGAACTAAGGCACCAACGAGACACAGCAAAAGCATGGTAATGAAGGAGGCACTGACAGTAATGAATAAGGGCAAACAGAAAATTAAAGGAGAAAGCAGGTGAGTGACAGTCTGAGGCCGATGGTTTTCTCAGGAGTTTCAGGCAGCGTGGCTAGAGGACCGTTGGGAAGCAGGTGAGAAGAGACGTTCCTAGTACTAGACGGGTGTCAGGGTGAAGATTGTGAATGGCTGGACTGACTAGAACGGGTATGGGGACATAAAGGAGTCTTGTGGCATGGAGGGAGGCTCGGAACAAGGGAATATGTATACATAAAAATTAAATGGGCTTCAATTTTATATATGCTTTACTTTGATGAAATATTCAGCAGGAAACAAAAGTGTATTCGATTGTATATACATGAATCCACATTTGATAACCAGAGAGACTGCACACTTGTACACTATGAACAATAGAAAAAACATTTTAAAAAGCTATCAGAGAAAAAAAATAGATTACCTCAGTGGAATGACAGACTGAGAGCAGACTTCAGCAGCTGCACGGTCAGAGGACAAGGAAGTAACATTCACACCGAAGGAAAAAATCGTCTGTAATCTTAGACGCAGCCAAACCAAAATTAAGAATGAACTGTCAAGTATTTTTAGGGACAGAAAGTGTAGGAAAATTTACTAATAGTGATTACTTTAAGGAGCTCTTACAAAATGTAGTTCAGGAAAAGCAGACACAAATGGCAGATGGACACAAGCAGGACAGATGGACACAAGAAAGTTACCACAGAAGGCACTAATACTCATTGCCCAATTAAAATGAAGCACTTGAGGATTTTAAAAAGTAAAAATAAACTCCAAGAGATAAAAGGCTAGATAAAGGGAAGGTTCAGTGAGCGCTAACTGTGCTCACCACTTGGTAGAGTTAGAAAAAAAAAAAGAACAATTAATTCTAGATCCAACTGGCAAAATTTAAGGATTAAAAATATAAATAAAATCTACAGGATTCAAAACTCAGGAAAAATAGAAAACAACAAAATAATTATCTATTAGAAAATGGGCATATAAGAAGAAATAAAAACAGAAATAAAACAGAAATGTTTTAAAAATTACAGAAATCAGCCCAGTGTAATCACAATAAGCATAAATGAATTAAAACCATCTCTTACAGGCAGATTATCAAAATGAACACAAAACTAAAATCTTTGCAAATGTGGCATATAAGAGACAGACCCAGCCAGGCAGTGGTGGCGCATGCCTTTAATCCCAGCACTTGGGAGGCAGAGGCAGGTGGACCTCTGTGAGTTCGAGGCCAGTCTGGTCTACAAGAGCTAGTTCCAGGACAGCCTCCAAAGCCACAGAGAAACCCTGTCTCAAAAAACAAAAAAAGAAAAAAAAAAACAAAAACAATAACAAAACAAATAAACAAAAAACCAAAGAGACAGACCCCAAACCAAAACTTAATGAAAAACGCAGGGGCAGAAAAATACGAGATATATAAGCATACCTCCTCACATATAGTCCCCAGCTGTATGCAGCAGAGATATTAACTGGCCAATACAGTAAGAGAAAACCTAAAGCATTAATAAATATGCCATGAAAATTCAATGTATGGAAACTTAACTGTATATCAGAATGAACAACCAGGAGGTTTTACCTCAGACCCAGAAGCCCAGGACTACCAATAGTAAATATTTTAATGAAGTAAACTTAGTTGTTAGATGGTATTTACTGAACACCCAAAAGGTCCCTACCTCATCTATCCCCAAAGGGAAGGTTCTGGCCAACAAATATTTATTGAAAACATGTTTATCCATTGAGGATGCTGCAGTGGGAAGCTAGAGCAGGGTTTTTTTTGTTTGTTTGTTTGTTTGTTTGTTTGTTTTTTTTGAACTTCTTACCTCAAGAAGCTCCCTGTACACCTAGGGAAAATCAACTGGAGATGATAGCAGGGTAAGAAGTCAGAATGCCCTGAGAATATTCAGCAGAGTCACCTAACTCAGTTTCTAGAAGGGAAAAGAAGCTTCCTGGAATAAGAGGACAGCTCCTCAAGTGGACAAGTGCAAAGGGCAATGAACCAGGCAAAAAGGTACACACCCAGAGCCCTGGGAAGAGAACATGGCACTTCAGGCACCTGGCAAACGTAACAAGGGAACATGTGGATCAGATTGGGGAAAGGCAGAAACAGACCAAAGAAACCTGTGTTTGTCAGCAGGGAGAGCTGCTGCCAGCCTTCCCTGCTGCTCCAGCGCTGTGAGCGCACGTACGTACGTACGTACGTGTGTGTGTGTGTGTGTGTGTGTGTGTGTGTGTGTGTGTGTGTGTATGTATGTATGTATGTATGTATGTATGTATGTATGTATTTGTATTATATATTAATCACCAGTGCTTTAAGAGTCAAAAATGCTCTATTTCAAGTGGGACCTGGCCCCAGTGTTTCTGTTGGAGCAATGGGAGAAGAGACTAGACTAAGCAACTTTTCAAATACTTCTTAGATGCACACACAATAAACTCCGGCCATAAAGAAAAAGAATAAAATAATGAACTATTTTTTCATTCTCATTTAAATTCCAACAACCTTTAAAGAACTCTGTACAAATTTGCTTTGGCATGTGAGTTTCTGAGTCACTCAACTGCCTCACCTCTGCTTTTCTGATCCTTTGCTAATTTGAAGAGAATCACAAACTACCCCAGAAAATGCTTCACTGCAAGTGCTGATTCTTTCTCCTAGTCAGCAGTCACAAGCTTCATCATAATCCCACCGTTACCCAAGTCTCAGGCAGTGTTCCCCCACTTAACTTCAGATCAAATGCTTTAGGGAAAAAACTGCAGAACTTCAGAAATCATTAGTTCCTCATAAGGAAAACATGAAATTATTCTTTACTTGGGTATAACATCTGATTTGCAGCAGGTTTCTAACATCTGAAAAAGACATTTCTTACGGACTAGGTCAGCAATATGAGCATGCTAGGAGAGCCAAGAGAGCATGTGATCAACAGAGCAAGACACAGAAAAACCAGGCAGTTGTTGAACCACAGAGGAGTTTAAAATAATTACTACACGAGGAAGCACTGTCTGTAATGATCATGAGACTGAAGCTCTAGCAATAATCACTGTGAGTGCACGCAGGACATTTGAGACTGAGTAATGAGACCCAAAGATCCAAATCCAGGGCTCCAGTACTGCTCAGCATTGAGCTGCTTGGCAGAGTTGAGGAGGAGCCTCTGCCAACCCCGCTGAAAGTTTATTCCAACCCCAGACGCTAACAGTCTCCTCCAAGTTACGCATCTCTCCAACTCTCAGGAAGATTCTGAGTGTGTGGATATGAAAAGCAAAATCACAGACCCGGGAGTTTTATGTTAACAAACACACACACCTTTAAATAGCATATGCAACATTTCCTGCTAAAAATAAAGATAGAGATATATTGCTAGCTATTAAGCCACTAATAATCAAGAATTAGCCTCCCTCATTCCATAGTCTGTCATTTAGACACATCATTCAGCAAACATTCATGTACAACGTACACACACAAGAACGGAAAGCACTACAAAAAGCACTGGCTACAACAAAGCGTTCAATTCTGCCCAGCAGTTTATGTTCTAGTGGGTCATTCTTAGCTGAGGCTCACTGGTGGGTTCTCAGCACCACATGGTTGGCTGTAGAAGATAGCAGCTCCTCTGCTTCCTGTACCATCTCCTCCTGGTCCATGTCAGTGTTGGAGGTGGAGCGGGCCCGGAGCGAGAGTGCGGGCCCCAGGAGGGGCCAGAGCAGAGGCCTGCCCGGGAGCCGCTCCCCGGCACCGAAGCCAGCAGCATTGTCCAGGTCCTTTGTCCAGATCGGCAGCTGACAGAATTGAGGATGAGGTCCACAGAGATGACCCTCTCTTAAACATGTCTCAAATACATTTAACAGTGATGTTTATTTTATTAACAAACACAATCCCCTGCCTTTTGGTAGACAAAACAATTTTGCTCTACCAAAAATGAAGTCTAGACATCTGTTTCAAAGATGTGTGTGGAGTACGGCTGTTTTCTGTAGAGCCCATAAGTTAGATTTGTATGAAGGTCAAGGAGAATGTGCTCTTTAGTGATACAGTGAGTCCATGGAAACCACCAGGCTGATTAAAGAAGCCAATCAAAAAAGCTCATTTTCTCCTATATTCTAGAAGAAACGTCGAGAAAGGGCTAAAGATAGGGCAGGTTGGCAAGAATTGGGCAAAGAAGGAAGTGGCTGCATTAGACAGCAGGTGTCTTTGGGGTGAGAGACATTCTACAACTGAACTGTGGTTGACAGTCACATCATCCATACTTTTATGGAATTGTGTGCTGAAAATCGATGATTGTTATGGGAATGGAAAGGACTTCCTTGATAAAACTGTCAAAATAGTGCTGCATTGGACAAGGGTTATTGTGAAATTCACTTTTCAAATTTTTCCACTTTAGCATCACAAACAGAAGCCAAGGCCTCTGCTATAGTACAAACCACTCTGACAACTCCAGTGGCACCTACTCAGGGAATGCAGCTTCCTTCAGAACCCCTGCTTTGGAATTTTACACAGTAGGTTGACACCAGTTACAGATCATCTACGACTTACACAAAAGTGGTGTGACATAGTCACAGTTTTCAGTCTCATGAGCTGAGGAAGGACATTAAGAGTGGATTCTGAAGAAACATATTCCCTACTCTGCCTGTGCCAACCAGACACTCCCCGACCTGTACACCATCATCTCAGTTTGGTTTTGTTCCATAGAGCTTCACCTCAGAGCAGAAAACAGACTTTTACAAAGTGGGAACCAAGAATCTTTAAAATACACTTGATTTTTCAACTGAAGAAAAATAAACTAAAATTACTTTACACACACACAAAAAAAACCACTGAAACATACTCCCAAATAGGAAACTTTCACTCCAGCTCAACTCCTTTTCCAATAGACTGGAAACATGGATACAGTGTAACATTTTCAAAGCACTGTCTCTAATTTTATGGTATTTCTGTTCCAGTCTTAGAGTAAAATTAAGTATTATAATATAAAATACAAAACTGTTCTGACTCACTTATTCAAAAGATGGAGCTGATATATGTTCTTATCTTACTTTTCTGTAACGTAGAAAATCAAATAAAGATGAGATCTGCTAGAACTGAATTTCATTCAGTTAACTCATTCCCAGAGCACAGTGGACAGGCGTGAATCCTAGGGCAGGTTTCATCTTGCTGCATCCTCTAGCATCTAACACATATGTAGTCATGGCAGCATTGTCAGACATGGCTGTAATTACCAAGTCTCAGACTTTTAGGAATGCTTATGAAGATCACACTCTGCTTAGAGGGTATCAGATCATTATCTAGTCTTTCCTTGCAATTTCAACCTTCATAGATGTTTTAAATACTAAAGTAATTGTTTTAAATTATAGTGACTATTGTCAATAAAGATCTATCAAACAAAAACAGTGAATAAAAACTGTATATCAGAATATAAATTTGTTTTCAACACAAAAGGAATTAACCAAGCTATTATAGATGTATTGCATTAAGCACATTAGATCACAGTGGCAACAATCTTTAAAGGATTCCTGAATTACCAAGAAAACAAGGATTAAGAATGG